TGAGGTTCTTGGCTTTATGGATATTTGGTCCTGTACTTCTCTACTGTTGTGAAAAGCACACAGAAATACTCTTGAATTGGTGTTTTGTATTGTGACTTGAGTTTAGTAGGCTCTTTAATGCATCCATTTTTTTGTAGCACAAGTTGATAGGGAGCAACAAAGAAATGATTCCTTTTAAAAACATGATGCTTTTAAAAACGTGCAGCTACAGTGCACAGACTTTCAACTATAGAGAGGAGGAGGTTCAGAGATGTTTGGAAATTCTTAAAATGAACTTGTATCCTAAGCTAGAGCTTGTGTAAAACAAAAGTGTGGTGGTTTTTTCATATTACTTTCAACAGGTGAGACTGTTATAACTGAAATAGGAAAGTTTTTCTTACACCTTTGCCTTGACGATTTTGATAACATTTTGTGGCTAAGCCTGTATGAATTTTTCTACATCAGTTTTTCCTTGCATATGAAAGAATCTGTGCAGACAGCAGGAGACAGTTCTTCTTAAACTATTGAAATTATCAAAACTGAATAAAGATGCAAGTCTTGAGTAGTCCTTGGATTAATTAGTTCTTATGTAAAAATAAAATTTCACTTAATTTCTTCTCCCCTGCTGTCTCTCACCCTGTATTATCCCCCACCCCCCCTAGTGAAGGGGATACCCTGAGTGGTTTTCATTGCCAAAGGAATGGAGTAGGGGCAGTGGAAATAGAGGCAGAGCTAAACTGCTTTTTGCTTTAGCCAGTGGTGTCACTATATGGAGAAGGAAGGTAGGGAACAACTAGAGCTGTTGTTTGTTTGTTTGTTTGTTTTCTCCAAACATCCAGTTATGGTCAGTAAAAGCAGCAGGTCATTTCTAGCAGATCAAGCTTTACAGGGCAGAGAATTCCAGGAACAGGCTCCTGTTGTGAGGCAGTACGTTGGAAACACTCTCAAGCTGCAAATTGTTGTTGCCTTTGTTACCTCCATCAAGTTTCTTGTACATTTTAAAAAAAATGTAAGTTTTTGTGTCTAGGTTGTTTCTTGAGCTGATCGTGGTGCCCTTTGAGGATGTATTATTGGAAGGACTGGTCCTTTGAAAATAGGTTGGGTTTGGGGGGGTTTTTTGATATATTATTTTGGGAAATGTGTATGAAAGGAGATCCAAGTCTAATTGAACATACGGAAATGTAAAGCACATGAGCGTCTTACTGAACGGTTTCCCTTTTAACAGTGAAAATCCATGAAGAACTAGTAAGGTTGTTAAATTTTAGATTTACCCGTCTTTAAAGCGTGATTTTCACACATGTAACTATGATACTGAAAACTAAATAAAAATCAGCTTTAAAATAGTCATTTGGTATTCTAAAATCTTATGAAAATTTAAAAAGGCAACAAAGTTTTGATGCGCTATTCCAAGAGATAGTGGTGGGGATGTGTGTGAAGAGAGGGCAGAATATATATACACGCACACACACATATATATGCATATACATACATGTGTATATATATGTATGTGTGCATATATATTTATATATAAAAATATTTGCATCTCAATTTGATGTATATTTCAGCTGTAGTTCATCCTGAACTGGAAATATCTATGTGTACTGACCTCATTGCTTTTCCTGTGTTTTTGTTGGTGTTGCCCAGAGTCTGTTTGTACCAGCAGAGGAACAATTTACCGTGATCTGCTCAATCCTGTTCGTCCAAAGTTCTTGTTCGTTCCTGCCTCATTAGCCCAAGTTTCAGCCTCGCATGTTCTTCAGTTAGCTACCGTATTCTTTTCTGCGTCCTCCCTGGCTACTTCAGTGCATCTAGCTGATTTCCCTTTCTCCTGCCCTCTGGCAGTTTCTTGCTCCTTGGATTTTTTTTTTTTCTTTCTCCTCTGGTTGCAATGTCATTCTTGGGATACCTTTTAAGACACTTCTTTTTATTTTTTGCTGCCACTTACTGTCATCTTCTGTCCTGCTATGAGCTCTCCCAGTTTCCTGGTTCTCTGCAGATGTGTTCCTGAAATGCGAGGGCTGAAGTGCTGATTTCACACTGGCTTCTTTGTTCTTCTTGTATGGGACTGGCTCCTTTTTCTGGAGGACCAGTTGTTTCTTGGTGTACGAAGGAAAGGATGGGTATGGAGTGCCTGTCTTAATGTTGGCTCCTTTTTTCCTCTTCCATCTCGTTTTTTGAGCCTTCTGGTGGTTGGTTTGTGGGTGTTGGGTTTTGGAAATTTTTTTTTGTGTCTTTCATTACCTCTTAAAACAGATTTTCCTGAGTTTTAGTAACAGCGCTGGCTTTGTTCATCAAGAATCTTTGCACTTATTCTAAAGAAATATAATTCAAAATTGAAATTAAGCTGCTTTTTTTTTTAAAAAAAAAAAAAAAAGGTCAGTTCACAGACACCTTTCTCCTTCTTTTTGACAGTTTTTATTTGTCTGTACTGATTTCTTGGCAAGCAGGGGTGTTAGCTGAAGTATGTCTTACAGCTTGAATGGCTTTAAAAATCAAACATTCTGGCACTAGAACTTGCCTTTTATGGAGATTAGTAATGAGAAGTTGTGGTCTTGACTTGATGTTGGTGTTGGAAAAGGTATCTGGCTACCACTGTCTTGAAGGACAATTTTTCTTCTTTCATACCTCCTGGAATAGGAATGGAACTAAGAAAGCAAAAACCTTCTTGCCTACTTTTTGTATTTTATTGGTGTAAGGCTTCGATTCTGTATTGCTGAAAGTCTTGTTATCACTTTACTTGCCTTGAAATATTTGGCCAAATATTTTTGTCTTCTGCATTGTTTTTTTTCCTTAACTGAGGCAGCGGATAAATCTGTGTAAGTTGGTCACTTCACAAGTATCTTGGAACTTTAAATTAATGGAAAAATAAGAGATGAAATTTTAAATGACATCGTACTTTCCGTTACACTGTCAAATGAAGATGCTTTTATTCTCTTATTTTGCTTTGTGGCAAATAATTTATTACATATTTGGCTAGTATTCAAGGACTCTATTTTTTCTTTATTGTGAAGGCCAAAATCAAATTATGTAATGCAAACCCATTTTTTCCATGATTTGTGGGGTATATTTCAAGGTAAAAATCATTATGTGTGTGTAGGAAATGCGGAAGCTCTCCATGGTTTTCTGCACTATACAAATCATGGCAATATAACGATTCTACCGTTAGTAAGCCACAGCTTAAATAGGAAGTTAAGTTTATGGGTAGAATGGAAAATAATATTTAATGAAACAGAGCACCTAACCATGACCTGTGATATAGAAGGAGGAATTAAAAAGTAGTACTGGGATGTCCTGGCTTCTCTTTCTTCTTGGAAGATGGGAAGGAAGATCGGAGAAGAGAGAATGGTCCTGGCAAGCCAATGTGGATTATGCTTGCGGGTCTAATGACTAGTAGAACAGGAGCGTGCACAGTATGCCATATGCATAGTGTAGCATACGGTGTAGATTTTGCAACTGCTTATTTTGTGATGTGAAATTACAACAGCAGCTTACGGAGTACATAGGATTCACTGTAGATCCAGAGTAGGCGGAGTGGTCTGGAAAGAGCTGAAATTGGATTTTGGTGTCTTCTGGTACGTGTGTGTGCATGCTTATGAGTGCCAGACTGTAGGACTGTTATTCAAAAGCAAACCTCCCCAAATCCCTTATTTCCCTGTTCTCTTAAAATGCTCTACAGGAAGCAAAGTACAATGAGAACGTCACAGTGTTCAGGTGGTGCTGGGATCCTGAGCAAAATGTATGCCTCTTCCCTCGGCTTTCTGTGTTCAGCCCTTCACAAGTGTTGCATCAGCTCTGACAGTACTATGTACAAGTTTTAGTTTCTCTCAGTTTCTGAAATGTGAAGCTAATACTTGTTTTCAGAGTTATGGTCAAACTGGAGGACAGAGTGGTGTCTTTTCTGAATGCCTAGGTTCAAGATCTTCTGAATGTGTTTTGTAATAAATTTTCTCACATATGAGATATAAGTCATGGTGATGCTATTTGTGAAAATGAAGTCTTTTTTTTTTTTTTTGCTTAGAATCACACTTTCAGATTTGAAGAGCTGAACATGCTACCTGTACCCTACATGTTTTGAATATACAATATACTTTCTGTGAATTCAGACTTTAAAAAACCAAAGGGGGGTATTTAAATCTAGCACTGCAGAATCCCTTTTTGTGCTTAATGATCTTAACAGAATAGCACTCTTAACTTCTGATATGACTAAAACTCTTTGAAATAGTGTGCCTGGGCTATGTTTATAGAAACGAGAGCAGAATCATTCTGTAAGTCGGCTTCTTAGAATGCCTCAAACGGTCATCTGTAAAGACTAATAACTTCTGAAAACTTTGTCTTTGAGGAATTAACTTTTCCACTGGGTGACGTTAGTATGGAGAATAGTGCAGAGGATTCTCCAAAACAGTTGGTGCAGTTGATTGTAATGATAATATGGTATGGCCATAGCTAGCGAAATGATAAACATTTTCATTAAAGACATTTGCAATGCCTGTATATAGCAGAATAATTTGAAAACATAGTATTGATTAGATTGTCTTGATGGATGAAAGTTGTCATACTTTTATGCACGTTATTTTAAGATGATAGGATTATGTCAGTCTAGCTATCTGTAGGGCCCTCCTAATATTTCTGTTTGGTAAGCACATAGGCTAATTTAAATCATGCTGCAGTTATTTCTGTTTTATATTGTTTTTGTAAAATAGCAAGTTCCCATACACAAGTTAACAGTGCCTGTACTGTAAGTTAGCAGGTAATAATTTTTAGACAGAAATGGAACTTTCACAGCAGCCTTATCAGAATCTGGTAGATCAGTGATTATGGGTTAGTTCACAAGGAAGATAGCTTTGAACGTTGCCTAGAAAAATCTGCCTGTTAGTCTCTTTTGTTTCAAGGGCCAGCTGGCATTGTGGCGATACATAGTGTGGAATGTCAGTAGTCAATCAGTTGTCTGAAATGTTGTCTTTTTGGTTAACTGCTTAAACTTTAGAACACATTTTTAATATTTGTTTTCTCTGTTCAGCTCTTTTCACTAATGGAGATGAAACCTCCTATTTCCCGAGCAAAAATGATTCTCATCACAAAAGCTGCCATTAAAGCTATTAAGGTAAAGTACAATAAAGCAAACATGAAACTGTAACAGTAGCAATGTGTTATTATTTTACTTCTAAGTAAATGCATCTCTGGATTTCCCAGTCTTAGCTTCATGGATGTTTTATTCTAGCTGGCGTTAAGAATGTTATCTAGAAACAAGTGGGTGGTGAATATCATCTCTTGGTTTTAGACTAGTAGCATAATGCCAGCTTGATTTTTTTGAATCATTGCTTTTTAATGCTACACCCACTAGGGTGTTGTGATTCCTATGTAATAAAATTTTAAATGTTGCAGGATGCAACTGCACCTTAGCATATTAAAACATAGCGGACTTGCTTAGAAAGTAAATCCAGGAAGCTCTCACTAATACTCTAGAAGCAGTATGTCTTTTGTGTGTACACTGACACACTTCTGACAGAAAGGATGGCTTGTTCCTGTCTGTTCCCTCCATGAAATCTTTTTTTCTGTGATTGATTAACTTAGCTTGATAATATACTTCTTTTTAGAATGTGATTACAATATTTTATAGTCTTTCCTAAATGGTGGTAACCACAAAGAATTAAAATACTTCTAAAATGATGTACCACTGTTGAGTAGATGATAAATTAATTTATGTATTTATTTTCCAGCTCTACAAGCATGTTGTCCAGATTGTAGAGAAGTTTATCAAAAAGGTAAAAAATGAAAAATAATCTACTGATAAAGATGTTTTCTGCATCCGTTACTAGATATTATTAATAATGCTAGTAAATAACCAAAAAGCCTTCTGTTATTCAGGGATTGAGGGAGGAAAATTCTGTTTTGTTAAGATTTTATACATTTTGGTTTCTCTTTGTCTATATAATCTCCTTATTTTAGTTTTCCGTAGTACATTGTGGGGCGGGGGCGGGAGCGAAATTCCCCCTTCCTCCTCTATTCTGCAGCTGGGCAGGAAACTGGAGGTACCAAACTTCAGATTAACTTTCACTGGCTAAGATAATAATGCTTGCCTAGGCATGTAGAACAACAGGCTAGAATGTAATACTCACTAAAACCAAACTATCATGCTGTCTAAAGTAAGTTCCTCTAGGTAAACAGGAAAAATACTCTTTTTCATTCAGTGTCCTTCAGAGACCTCCAAAGAGAAGGACTTTGCGTTAAATCCTGGAGAATAGAGTTGGTGGAAGTAGTTCAGTGCATTGAGTGTGAGGTAGCTTGATAGCAGAGTTGTGGCAGTCTGTACTGTAGTGTAGTAGACCTGTTGTTGCGGTCGCATGTTGTCAAGCTAAAGGTACTTTAAAAGCAGTGATTGAGAAGATAAAGGCTGCTTCAAGTTATCCAGATATATTTACTCTGTCCCAAATGTGAAAGCATGTTTTTCTCCTTTCTTTTCCATTTCTGTAAACAAAATGAAAGTAAAGCACTGAGAGAGTTGTACATAAATTAAAAGAAATTAACATTATTCTTTTTTCTACCCAAGTATACTAAGTATAGATTTTGTTGTAAGGATCTAAGGTGAATGCCTGTTACCTTGTTACTATCACTGCATAATGGCAAATTATTTTTATGTTTTCAGTGCAAACCGGAATATAAAGTCCCTGGATTGTATGTTATTGATTCTATTGTTCGTCAGTCTCGTCACCAGTTTGGAACGGACAAAGATGTTTTTGGGCCAAGATTCTCTAAAAATATTACTGCCACATTCCAGTATTTGTATCTCTGTCCATCTGAAGACAAGGTACAACTATAATTTCTCAAGTGGTGTTGTGAATTTGTAACAGTGCTACTTTGGTGTTTCCACTTATGTGAAAGCTAATTCAGTGATTCTCTATGTGCATGGTAGTGAATGTTCTTATATGAAAGGGTAAAACATGCTGAGAAAGATTATCAAAGGGGATAGTTAAATGAAAGTTCTAGTTAAAATATTTATTTTGTCTAACTTCATCAGTTAGGTTTTGCCTATGCAGACACTTCAAATGTGTGTGTGACTGTGCCAATGCTTTTCTTCTTGAGGCTCCTTCAGCAAAACTTACTATGGAAGGTGGTGTCTCCCACAAAAAAAAAAATAGCAGAAGCTCCGGTGTTGTAGGCAGTGAAGGTTCTACTCCCAAGTATTTTCTGAGAAAATCATCATGTTGATTTCTTCAATCTTTATAAATTCCATAATTGAGAATTTCATTGCTGCGCTCCATTGTCAAGACTGGTTTAAGACCTTCGTTTTCTTAGTTTTGCTGTACTTGCTGATAGAACAGAGGCTCAGAAAGTATCCTGAGTTCATGATGGTCCAGGTTGCTACCAACAGAAGATGGCTTTTTATGCTTTCTGTCAGAACAATTTCAAAAGGTTCCCAAGATAAATAAGTGTTTTAGAAGTTGCCAATTGGTTTCCAGAAAATTGCCTACTCGCTCTTTTTCTTAATTGATGTACTGTAAGAGCAAAATACTTTTTTTTTTTTTTTTAAAAAAACCCACCTGACTTTTCCCCTAACTTTCTCACTAAGCTTTGAAAGGCTTTGATGCTCTGTTGTTTTCTATTGTGGAACATTTAGACCTTTAGGCCTTGAATGTGATATTCTGGGGCTTCTGGGTTAATACCCTGGTGAAATAGAGCAGTCCCTTCTTCTTTTTGTCTTTGTGGTTACCATTTTGTTAATCTAAATGAATTAGACTATCCATCTCCTTTATGGAACTACCTGATGCCTCACTGATAAAATAACTAAGATGCTTTCTACTAGGGGAATAACGCTATTTATAACATGCTTGCTTTAATGAATTTCCAGTACCTAAGCAAAAACCTAGTCTGCAGATACACAAAAACTATGGTTGATATCCAAAGAGAATGATACTAAATTTTTTTTTTTCAACAACCTTTCTGTGAGTTTAATATGTGACTGAAAAAGAGAGTATTCAACTTACTCATTTTTTGGCCCTCATATTATTTTCAAGTCTTCTGAAGAGATAGAATACCCAAAGCCAAAAAGTGCTACTGTTTTAAAATTAACTGTTTTTCAGACCAAAATTTTATTTACAAATAGCCGTTTCCGGTTTCTGTCTAATTGATCTTACTGTAGAAAACATTTTATGCAGTTCTTTAATTGCTCAGCTTATGAAAGTATAGGTGGATTTGCATGGGTGTATAACTGAGTCACAGCAGGGCAGCTTATTGTTGAAACAAGAAGGAACAGAATTGATTCATTCTTAGGAGCTGCAGTAGAAGTAAATAGTACTTAAAACGTATATGTGTGCAAGTCAGATGACTAAGTATACAAAAAGGACAGGTATGTCAATATAACATGTATTCTGAATTTTACCTACTTACATGTTCCAACGCAGCACATCTCATTGGATACTATTGTTTAATACGGGGCTAAAGAAGGAAAGACTAATTTCCAGCTTGTTACTGGAAGATTCATTGTTCTTAATGTTAAAAAAAGAAATGAGCTTAAAGTAACAGCTGACAATCAGAGGTTCTGATTTAATCTTTCTGCAGTGATCAGTTAGAATATTTTCCATTTGCTTTCCTGATCTTTTGAGTAATGATGGAAATGGGTTTTCTGGCGTCAACATAGAATTAGTTGGGTTAGTAGAAAAAGATTCAAGCAAACAATCCTCTGTCTAACTTTAAAGCTTTGTTCTAGTGTTTTGTGGGCTAATTGCCCCTCTCTTCATTAGGGCTTTCCAGCTCATCTTCATTTTCTCTGTCTTATCACATTTGTTGTTTGTTTCACCCCTTTATGACCATCTGTGAGGAGATGATGGGGCTGATGTGACTTCCTCTATTGTCTATCAAAGCTGGATTTCAGAACAGTTTTAGAAAAATGGCACAAGTTGCTTTTTATTAGAGCGGATAGCAAAATAAGTTGGCCATTTTTATTTCTGCCAATGTAAAAGCTCTTGCTGACCTATGTGACGACATAGGGGTTGTTAAATAGGTATGCCTGATGATGTTGAACTCCTATACTGTTCAATCCTTTCTTCTCAACATACGTGGAGTTTGTGAATTAGGAAAACTGTATTTAGTGTTGATGCTTGCTTTTGTTTCAACAGAGTAAAATAGTCCGTGTCCTGAACCTTTGGCAGAAAAATGGAGTATTTAAAATTGAAATAATTCAGCCTCTTCTGGATATGGCAGCAGGAACTAGTGCCACTGCACCAATGACAGAAAATGCTACTAATAATGAAGGTATGAATGACATTATAACTCCATTTAAAAGGATGAATGATAATAGCTTGTTTGCTTTCACATTAAAGTACCTAGTATTAGTCTCAACAGTAGCTTATTAATAAACTCAACTTTGTGGTCACAATTATGTGGAGCAGCTGAACTTACTCTAAATAAATGATGATACTGTACTTCAGAAATTGCCAGAATGTGAAAAGTTACTTGGAAAATATGTGAAATTTATATCATGTCATGTGTATGCATATGTAGATACATATGTGCATACTTTACTTACAGATGACTTCAATGTCCCCTCCTTAAAAAGTCTGTAACTTTTTTTTCTTTTGGTCTGAAATATTTGTCTGTTGTTTCTCAATTTTACAATTCTGATTCAATTTTTTGGGGGTATTAGAATCTGGATAAGTAAAGCATGATCTTACATGTTAAAAGCTTCATCTTTCTTTGAATCAACTTAGTATCTGAAAGCAACAGCTGTCGATCTCTTTCGATACGCAACCCCGAAACATTTTAACTGGTGTTTCAAATCCAAATTCTTAAACAACAAATTTATTGCTGGCAGTAGGCATTTACACAGGCTACTGGTTGAAAACCACTGACCTAAGGAGTAAAGTAATGGTAGCCTGCCCACAGTATTTTCACTGACCTACTTTATGCCACATACCAGCCAAAAAGCTGGTAGTGAGATTACCGAATTGTGGATGAGAATATGCATACCACAATTCTCTCTTTCTTTGGAGGGCCTTCTTTTTGAGTTTGCACTCTATGTTTCAGACTTAGCTTTAATAACCTGCTTATTTATTGCAGTCATGTATGTTGGAGTAGGACTGGCAAAAAATGTAATGGAGTGAGCAAGTTGTGGTGATAGACACAAAGTAATGATGTACAGTAGCATAAGTGAAATGGTCTCCAACGGTGTTAAGGAAAGCGTATCCTGTTGACATGCTCTGTAAACATGGCAGGGCAGGGGGAGGGAATGTCTTGGCAGCTGAGCTTGGGTGCAGACTGGTGGCTATACAATTTCATTCTGATATGACAGGTGAGTGGCACTATTTTACCATCTTTGTCTCATCAGTAGTAGCTAATGGATCGGGTGCCTTCTGCATAGATTTTTGCGTACAGAATTACTGATTTCAGTGAGATTATTCAGATGCACCGGAGGGGATAATTTGGCCCTGAAATAAATATGCTAATGAATAATAATAAATATATTAATGCATTACGTGAAATAGAAGCCATTTAGCTCATAATGCTACAGAGTCTGTTTAGCCAAAAAGAGAGAGAGAAATGCAAATTTTCTCCCCTGAGCAAGCAAATATCCTTCTGAATATATACAGTAAATAATTTGGGAGTTCATTTATATTTAAAAACAATCACGTATCTTTTTGCAGTATATTTACGTAGCATCTGACTTCTGGGAAAAAAATTATTCAACACGTTTGTGCTTGCTGTATGTCAACGCTACAGTTATTTAAACTGCAAACAGATGAAAAGCTTTAAAGAAGTTGGTATTGTGAGGCAAACATTTGCTTAGTGTCTCAAACTAAAAAATATTACTATCTGAGGGGTTTTTTTAACTGTCTCTCCTTGTACAGTTTTATAGTAGTCCATGAAAATATGTTTCCTAAAGAATAGTTACTTGCTCACAGCATGTAGGAATTGATGGTATTACTGCTAATTTACTTTGTACTGGCCAAATATTTATTTAAAAAAAAGCATTGTAATCTGAAGCAAAGAGAATGGGAGAGCTGCATGTGTAGACAAAGCTAAAAATGTGATCTCAATTTTAGTAAAGTTCAGTGGAAATGGGAATCTTTTCCTGGAATAATTAGTAAAAATTATTTTTATGGTAGGAGGATTTATCGATCAGATGCAAGTTTGGCTTGTGCCTATGCAAAAGTGCCATGGGAACAAACCTTATCAAAGATGGTTTCTTTTTAAGGTTTTCTTCTTCCCGGTGAGGGTGGTGAGGCCGTGGCAGAGGTTGCCCAGAGAAGCTGTGGATGCCCCATCCCTGGGAGTGTTCAAGGCCAGGTTGGGTCGGGCTTTGAGCAGCCTGGTCTGGTGGAAGATGTCCCTGCCCAGGGCAGAGGGCTTGGAACTAGATGAGCTTTAAGGTCCTTTCCAACCAAACCATTCTATGAAAAATAGTTGCTTGTGAAATAATTCTTAAAAACCTTTAATTATTTACCAAGACACTTCAGCAAAAGTTCAGTTACTGCTAGAAAATAGCAAATATTAAGAGAAATGCAGTTGCTCTTAAAATGAACCATTCGGTGATTGATTTGAAATATTTGTCCAAAAGAATGAGTCCAGAACTTTGTAACCAGAACTAACATTTTAAGCGTATTGATACACATTGCTTAACACTGTTTGAATAATAGTTTTTCTCTTAACTTTTCTAAAATTGTACAATTATAAACATTGACTTGTGATCTAAAATACCATGCTGGACTAGCTTTCAGATAGACCATTTTTCTTTGTTTTCTGTCTTAGTGTATATAATGTGCAGATGTGAGCAGTGAATGGAGGAGTTAAAGGCAAAATGAATATACAATTGGGGTAGTTTAGGTAGGACTTTTTGGGTTAAATAGAATATTGTAGATAGACACTTGTTTTGAGGAGGTAGATGTATGCACTGAAGAATAAGATGAATGTTTTGGAGTAACGTAACACTTTCTCTCAGGTTCGCCACCCCCTCCAGCAAAGGTTCCTTCGGAGCCTGCTCAAGTTACTGCTAACTCAGTACCTACTGTGCCACAGTTGCCCAGTTCTGATGCCTTTGCAGCTGTAGCTCAGCTGTTTCAAACAACGCAAGGACAACAGGTAACCTGTTTATATTTGGTTCCCTTCTAACTTCAATTTTTATGTTAAATAAGGGGAAAAAATGATGGAAGTAATATCTTTGATCTGAAGCAAAACAAAAAGCCTCCCTCAGGTCTTCAATGGAAAACTTGTAGGAGTTGGAGTCAGTATTTGAATGATCTGAGAGCCTTCTATCCAGTAATTGTGGTATTTGAGGAAAGTTCAGTTATATATCCGTAAATAGTTACTTCTGAATTGATGCAGTTACAACGTTTCAAGAACAGATGGAATATATCAAAGTGTTGAGTTTTGGTGTTTGATCCACTTAAATGTTTGCAGTGTTCAAAGGCCTGAGTATTGAAATCTTGGGATCTACTGAATTTTGCCACTGAAGTATTTAGAAAGTGACTTTTGGTCTTGCTGAAAATTCTCCATAGTTCAGTCAGGTTGGTGGTGGTGTTCATCCTGTGCCATAGTCTGGTTCGATGTAAAATTTGTATCCTGCAAATCTTTCTGTACTGCATGTTTATATAAGAATATATACTTAATACTATATATGTTTTTGTAGCTTCAGCAAATTCTTCAGACTTTTCAACAGCCTCAAAAACCCCAGTCACCGGTCATAGATAACACTGTGATGGCTCAGGTTCAAGCTATTACTGCTCAGTTAAAAACTACAGCAGCACAAGCGCCAGAACAAAAAGCTAATTTCCCACCCCCTGAGCAAAAAACGTCATTTGACAAAGTAAGTCTTCATTTGGTCGTTGTGTTTAACTTTTTCAGTTCAGCAGAAGACTGTTTGATGGATGCTGCAATGTCTTCCATTTGTTAGGAGAAAAATGATGCAAATTTTGTTTCTTCTCTTTCAATTTGGAGGTCAGCTTCCTGTTTTTACAGCCTTTGTGTTTTCTGAAGCTGAATAAAACTGGTTTGGGACAGTTTCTGATTCTGTGTTAGAATACAGATATTTAATTTTTTTTTTTTTCTGATTCTAACCTTGTCTTTAATTCCAGAGCTGTTAGATATATAGTAAGACTTTGATAATAAGGATATTTTGACTGTCAATAATATAAGATACAGAAAAAATAGTTGGCTCGCTGTAATTTCTTTCAGAAGCTGCTAGATCGGTTTGACTATGATGATGAACCAGAAGCAGTGGAAGATTCAAAGAAAGAAGAATCAGCACCTTCTCCTTCAGTTTCTCAGCCAGCTTTGTAAGTTTCGTGTCATAATAAAATTAACAAATCTTTGTTCTAAAAAATCTTTAGGTTAGAAAGCTGATTAAAATTCCAAGTTACTTCAGTGCTTAACTGTTATAGTCCAAAGTTAAAACATTATTAACAACTTCCGGTGGGTTGTTTGTTTGGTTTGGTTTGCTTTGGTTTTTTGTCATTTTACTTTGGTGATCCGGTATAAGTTTAGCATGTTGCATCATTGATTGAGGAATGTGTTCTGTAGAGAAAACGTCGGTTTTGGATTCAAGATGAGTTCCATGTTTTTATTGCACAACTGAGTCTGTCAGAGCATTGTTAGTAATCAGCTGGATTACTTTGCTGATGGGGGAAAAGATGCTATTCCAAACATTGTGGTGGTTTAACTATTTAAAAAATTAAAATTGGCTTTGCAGCTTTACATTCTCAAACATTAAATACCCACGCAAACTAACTCAGACTCCTGTTTCCCTTTTGATATGCATTATGATAAAGTCTTAAATTACATGATCACATACTAGTTTTTTCCACAGGACTTCTCTCTCATTCAGTGCACAGGCTGGATGGTGCTCAATACCTGGGTTAGTCAATATTTCTTTTTTCCCTGCTTCAGTATGTGGCCCCATGTCTTACTTTTTGTATATGCCATCCAAACCCTGCTCTCAAAAACAGAATCACTAACTTTGTCATTAGCTTTCTTACTGTGTTTATCACCTTGAGCACTTTAATGTTCCACAAGTATTACTTAATTTAAATGCCTTTTAAGTAATTTGGTAGTATTTTCCCTATGATACAGATGGAACTCTGGAGTACAGAAAGATTAGGTAGGTCAAACATAAGCACTGCTTGCGTGTGCCCAACAACAGGTCATTGGACTAGGCTTTTCAGCATGTTTATGTTGTGTTAGTATCACTTCAAAGCCTCTGTCCTTATTACCTAATAGTTGCGTAAGATACCTCTGGAAATTGGGTTCTAGTAGTCTCATTTTGGGCACACAAAATCAGTAACACTGTATATGAAAAACTGATCTGTCCAGAATCATCTAAGAATTGTGTGGCATGTGTGCCTTAAAATACTACAAAGTTCCATTTCGCATGACCATGAAATTCCTTTATCTTCCTGAAGCCCTGTTCAGTTTATTACACAAACTGTATCCTGTAAACAGGTCCTATTAACTGCACAGACCTCATTAATTCCCTGAGCACTGTCCATTCTGTGTGTTGAATCAGGAAGTGAATGGCGTTACTGTAATCTTTGTGTGATATACATATCCCTTTCTCCTCTGCCCTAAATTCCTCCTGAACTAAAGTTTTTCTTCCAGCAAAAGCATGGCCAATTTATTTTCCTTGAGGAAAATGCTTACTACTTTTCTTCCCAAAAGAGGAACTGGAAAGGAAGAAAGTTAGCCTAAGGCAGACAACCTTCATCAAAAATTTCCATAGACTGAGATTGTTAGCAAGATCATATAAGTACAGGGGGAAGAGAGGCTTAAACATTTATGTACCGTTTCTTTAAATGTTAAAGGATTGTGTTTACAGTGGAGAAAAGATAAGGAAGCCACTCTTCCTCCCATTTTTGTTTTCACTTTTTAGAGCGGGAATGGGATCATAATAAAGATAATTTTTCTGTCTAAATTTGAAGCAAGAATGTGTAAATGTACATAGAAATATGTAAAATAAAGGCAAAAAATCTGCATATCTACTGACTTGTCTCACCAAAATGTTACTGGTTTTAGTGGATTTCCAGCAGAAGGTATACAACAGCCGGTATTTCCTCAGCTCCCAAATATGGATCCTTTTCAGCAGCGAATGATGGGAATACAACAGGATCCAATGCGTCACCAGGTAACTTCAGGGTTTTCCCTTGTCCCTCTGTTGTATTATGTTTTCTGTGTTTTCCGTTGTTTTCTTTGGTGCAGAAGTAAGGAAGTGGTGTTCCTATTAGTGAAGAGTGAATGTGGCTTAGCCCTCCAACTTCCCCAAGAAACATATATTTATTCTCTGTTCTAGTCAAGCTTTGAAGAACAAGATTTTTATTTTATACACCTAAATGCTTGACCTACTTCATCTTTCTCAGGCTTCTGGTCTTTTATTGTGACTTTGGAGCAGAGATAGAATTTTACTTTAGCAAACTGGAAAAGCTAATGTAATTTTTGCTCCTAACTGGAAGTTTTTGTTTTTTCTCCTCCAAAGGTTCCTCTTCCTCCTAATGGCCAAATGCCAGGTTTTGGTCTCTTGCCTACCCCACAGTTTCCACCCATGGCTCAGCCTGTGATTCCACCAACAGCACCTGTGCAGCAAACTTTTCAGTCTCCTTTTCCAGTACAAAGTGAATCACACATACAGAAACCACATCAGCAGGTGAGGACCCCTTGCAGTAAACAAACTTACTTCAATGCTCTAATACATGTCTCTCAAATGTGTATAGTTTGTTCAGGAGAGGAAATTTCGTGATAACCATGGACAGAGATGGCTGTGATGGTAGCCCATCTGAGAGAAAGTTGGATAGCTGCAGTGCTGCATGACAAGTCTGGTATTTCAGAAGTCCAGCAAAACCAGCATATGTATGCTTTATGCCTCCTTCCCTGAAAGACTTTGGATTGCGTTTTGTCCTTCCACTTCTCGCTTTCTGTCATCATACCTTTCCTGTCCCCATCATGCTTCAGGAATATTTTGTTTCATGGAATTCTAACAATGCAATCTCATTGTGGAGAGAAACTATCTGGAAAAGTTAATTTTTAAGGGCCTGGTAGATCATTAATATAGTGGAAATGAACTCAGAAGTCTGTAAAACTTTTTAAAAAATTGAAGTGTGTGTAAACACCTCTCTCTTGTTCCCAAGATTTTGGAGGCTGTTATTGGTTTGGTTACTGGCTGCTATTGAGAAGAAATCAAAGAGCAAGTCTATTTATGAGCTTGTATTTTTAAAAAAGAAAAAAAAAAATTAAAAGAAAAAGTTGCATTTATTTGCCTCTTCCATGAAAAGGAAATTATAAAATGAGAAATAGAGATGGTACCAAGCTGTCTTTAGGTGGTGACCTGTGATGTCAGAGATTCTAGAAATAAATTTTTGCTTTCCACTTGGAATAAAGGCACAATTCTCAAGAGTATCTTTGTAATTAGTTTTTTAGTCTTGAATTCTGTTGAATCAGTACATTCTGAGAGATTGCTTGTTTGGATGTTCCCTGCCAGGGTCGCATCATGAAGACTGTTTAAAGTTTAGGGAGGACACCCTGTAGACTTGTAGAGGTAGGACACCCTGTAGAGGATTTGGAGTAGGAAGGAGGAGCTGTGTTGGACTTACTGTTGGGGGTTTTTAAGCAGGTTCTTGCATTTTATGTATTGTTTTGATGACATCCTGCTTCATTCTTCGAATTTCTTGTATTGTAATTAGCTTAAAGTAGTTTCCTGTAACATCTTGGAGAAAAGTTTACTAGAAAACTTTGCTTTGCTTGTGATTTTGATGACACAGCAAGATCCACTGACTGACTTAAGGAATATAGTCATATTCTGTGAAGATATATGCGGTGCTGAAATTGAGTAAAATGTGGGAAAACAATAATTTGCAAATTAAAAATGATAATTTTGTGTAAATTATTTTTATTATGTTTTTGCAGTGGTTGTATTAAGTTCATTTAATACTGGACTGTCTCCCTGTTAGTGACTACAAAGTAGTGGTGAAGCTTCTGAGGAGGGTTGCATTGCATTTTAATTTCACATATGTGTGTATTCGATATAATTTTAGTGCTGTTATGTAATTTAATCTAGGCATAAAATGAAATAAAATGCTTGCACTACTCATCTGTAACACCAGTCAACTTAATGTTTTAGGATATGGAAGTGGAACAGCCACCTATTCAAGAGGGAAAACGGCATGTTTCTGACAACAGAAAGTCAAGATCTAGGTCTGCATCGAGGTAAATTAGTGAAAGTTCTTTTAGGGAGGGTATATGTTGTATCAAGTATTGGATTTTAACATAAGGAACTTAAGTGTGTCATGTCCAAAGACTTGAAAACGCTTTACTAATTCTGTATGAGTACTGAGGAAAGTTATGCTGATTATTTGGACCTCGGAGAACCTGGTACTGTGCTGCCAAATCTATGTTGGGGGTGGTAATGTCTAACTGAGATGACAGTAAATAGCTGACAGGTGTGCTAACGCCTTGAACTATTGGTGGAGCTCGTTTTCAAGGCCGTAGGATGTAGTCCTGTTACCCGTATTTCGAGTTGGCTTCTTGGGTGCCCAGCTCTGTACTTCCTTTTGAGGTCATTTCTTGTAAGTGCTCAGTTGTGCTATACAAGTTGGATTCTATGACTAAATGCCAAAAGACAGATTTAGCAAAAGAGTCCATTTCAATTTAATCTAAGGATTAATTACAAGAAATTACCGTCTGTGTATTACTCTCTCTATGGACCACACTAGTGAAATTTCTTGGTAAAGTCAAAACTGTCAATGGCTTTATTTGAATTCCCCTTCTGGAAGAGGAAAAAAACCCAGACCCTTTCAATCTTTTTCCTCTGGGGGAAGTTGCGTATAAATACAGCTAAATGTTGTATGTACTCCAGTGCCGTGGTGATGAGAAACAGATTAGTGACTCTTTAAGACTTGCGAACCTCTGAGCGTCATCTACCTTCTAAGGAAATTGGGTGTCTGTACGGTTCTCTTTTACTGGTAGAGAGTAACTTCCATGCCTGTCAATACTGACTAAATTTTAGGGAAGCAGAATATGATAGCTTAATTTTGTCTGTGCTACAAAGACACTTTTCTTATGAAGAAATCTGTGATTCAGTGTACTGTGGGACTTTGCCTGTCACAGAGGCAGTATTTCACATGTCTCAGCTGACATAACAAGTCTAGCTCCAGTATTAAAGCTATCCACTTAGTTACAAGTCTTCTCTTTTGCCAAGTTTCTTATGACTACTTTGAAGGTTTACTCTTGTCTTCCAAACCTTGAGTGTTTTAGAACTTGAACATGATGTAAAGTAGAATTTCACTGGTAGAATTTATTTTTAACCTCTTTTTTTTGGCCATTCTTTTGTAAAAGCAATAAACGTTTTCCTCATTTAAGCAGATGTAATTTTTTTCTATGTTAACGTGGACATAGTTTTGATATTCAACTTCACTCCAAAATTAGTAAGAAGATAAGAAATTGAAAAATAATCAACTGTTCAACTGAAGTGCATTAATAAGCTACTGTAATAATTTATTCTTGTTCTAAATATATGTGAATGAACTTGGAATTATTTTTTTTTTTATATTGACTGAATGCTTGCCTGATTATTTAAATAGGTGTCTGAAATAGTTATGTGTCAATGTCTGGGTCAGAAAGATTGAACATAAATGGTTGTTGGTTTAAACTAGGTCACCTAAAAGAAGACGTTCAAGATCTGGCTCCCGATCTCGACGGTCACGTCACCGTCGATCTCGATCTCGGTCCAGGGATAGACGCCGACACTCTCCTAAGTCTCGGTCACAAGAAAGACGTGAACGTGAGAGGGAGAGAGAACGCAGGTCAAAAGGCCTTCCTCAGATCAAGTCAGAAACTGTTAGTGGTAAGTTTATTCTTTCTCTTTATTGTTGATGTAACTGTAAATTCTTATAATACCATTTTTCAGATGTGCAACATCTTCCTGGTTCATATATGGATTTTTCTTTTTGTGTGCCCAGTGTTTTCTTGAATAAATGTTAAGAGTTCTGTGAAGCTGAAGATATTACAGTAGACACTATGCCTATGTGAAATGGAATACTAAGATGACGAACAGGTGTTTTAGGAAAAACTGTAAATGTCGAAGAAATACACTTCTTGTATCTATTAGACTTTTTTTTAAAATTTAATGTTGACAAGTCCACTTACCTTCAATGTATGATATCTGCCCAGAATATCCCAGAAGACAACTCTTAATCTGATATGTAGTATTTTGTTTGTTTTTTTTTTTGTTTTTTTTTTTTTTTTTTTTTGTTCCTTTTTCTTGGTTTTAATGCTATTTGCTGTGGGTTCCAAGACCCATCCAAACAGAATAAAAGTAAAATGTACTATGATGTACTACATGGGTTCATGAAAGGCAAGTCCTACTTGACCAACCTGATCTCCTTGTATGACCAGGTGACCCGCCTGGTGAATGAGGGAAAGGCTGTGGATGTGGTCTACCAGGACTTTATTTAGTAAGGCCTTTGACACTGTCTCCGGCAGCATTCTTCTGGGAAAGGTGATGGAACAAATCATCCTGAGTGAGATCACGAGGCATGTGAAGGACAATCAGGGGATCAGGACTAGCCAGCATGGGTTAATGAAAGGCAGGTCTTGCTTGTCCAGTTGGCGGCCAGTCACCAGTGGTGTACCCTAGGGCTCAATTTTGGGGCCAGTTCTGTTT